TCGTGGAATCTTTTTCCTCTACATCCATAGAACCTTCTGCTACGGTAACACCTTTTTGACCTGATGCATCTGCTTCGGATTTGTATTTGTCACCGGTTTCTGCAGGAAGTGATAAAAGAAGATTTTTTGAGTTGCCGTAGCCAAGTCAAGATTTTAGTTTTGTTAAGACTCGACCACAAAGCCAAGTCATGTACGCCCTTAGTTTGCGGAACTATTTTCCATGTTAGAGGTGTAGTGGATGTAAAAGATTGACTGATGCACCTTGTGCTTCAAACATCTTGCTATTATTTCTAGCATGTGTTATTATTGACTAGTGCGTAGCCCCGTGCGATGCACGGGTAATTATATTAAATAATAATTATAAATAGGTATCGAGTTCGAGTGGTGGAGAACCATTATCCTATTTTAAAAGAGAAAAAAAATATAAATTAAAGATGTGGGGTTAACATGTGATATAATTTACTGCCGTATATCAGTTTAATAATTATAAATAGGTCTCGAGTTCGAGTGGTGGGGTTAACATATGATGTAATTGACCGTCGTATATCACTTTATTATCAACAATATGAAATTAACTTGTATAAGAGAACATAGAGTTTGCATGTTTAAAATACTAAAAACATGTAAAAGTAAGTAAAAGTTTATGTATTATTATTAAAAGATGTGAAGTCATCTACAATTTTTTTAAACTATTTTGGAAAGAAAACATGTTTAAAAACATTTAAATTTTATATTTTACGAAAGATGTTTTCTAAACTCTATTGTAAAGAAAACATGTTTAAAAATATTTAAATTTAATATGTATATATATGTGTATATGTATATATAGATATAATATGACATGATAAAATATTATATAAAATTATCTACAATATCATAAGTCTAAATAAAAACATTATAAATTTTTGAGAGAAAATTTACCACTTATATATAAAATAAATAATGAAATTATACCGAGAATTATGACGGTATTTCTTATTATTTTTTATAAGTTGTTACCATTAAAAAAAAAATGTACGCATAACAATTCCACGCTTTATGCAGATTTATTAATTTTACAAATACAGATCAAGATTAATTTAAAATGTAACAAATAAAATGGAATTTTATATATAAGTGATATTAATACAAAAATTGAAGACAATATTTAAATCTGCATTTTTCTATTAACTTTTTATTATGTGCATTTCTTATTTTTGGAGGAGAAATATGTGATAAATCTTATTCTCGTT